GGGTCTTACCCAATGTTTCACGGAGACCACTCATCTCTAGAAGCATCTTATCATACTCCTCCTTCGGTTTACCGACCACCTCCGACGCTGCTCGATGAGCAAGGGAACCGCCAGTTCCATGTGGAGCGACTCCTGACACGACTTCGTCGTCAGGGTCAATACCAATATCTGGTGAAGTGGCGAGGGTACCCGGAGTCGGAGAACTCGTGGGAGCTTGAGACACCCCTGCGGCAGGATTGCCCATACGCCGTTGATGTTTTTTAACATCGTGGCGGGGATCATCCCTCGACCGAGAGCGCTTCTCACCAATAGTGGTGGAGGCAGGTGGGTATTTGGGTCCCGCTTGACCAACACCCACATTAATCGGCACGGACGGAGCATAGCGTGTGCGAGTTCGCAACTTGTCTCTGGCCTTAAGCTTGGCGTAATCATACCGAAGCTTACGTTTTAGACGAACATCTGCCACATCGTCACTTGCTCTGAGAGCTAACACGCTGCTGAGGTGTCTTTTCCGATGCACCCAGCGAACAAAAGCGTTGTTTTCTTCCTCCTGAGATTCGCCTGCGAACAAGAGGATGGGTATACCCTTCATCGGTGGAATCGGTGCACCCCGTGCTTGCGTGTTAAGTCGAAACTTGTATTGACTTTGAGTCGTCAAGTGAGGTTCCAGGTACCTCTCACGATGTGCCTGTCGACTCTCCACCTCATCAGAAGATGTAGGCTCAGCGCTAATGGCCCACGTTGCGAAAGAACGACCTGTCGTTTGGCGTATGCGCTCTTCCGCATTGAGTGGTGTGAACAGATAGCCACGACGACCCTCAAGTGTTGCAGCAAGCTACATACGGCGCTGATCGCTCTCCTCTCGTTGGATAGCCAACTGTTGTTGCTCATAGATCGGATTAGTGATGATGACCTCGCCCACGATAAGTGTTTGATGCGGCGCCGATGGCGCGTTGGCTTCGCCACGCTCGGGAAATGGGTTTGGTGCAATATGAGGCGCTGCCGTTTGCACTGGTGCGTCGGACATTATCTTCTCGTCACCATGGATATCGGTATCGCTACCATAATCCACATCCACATCGATGCCAAGGTATGACGAGAGAGTCGAGGACTCATGGGGTGGCGATGCCATGGTGTTTTGTGTTTTGCCAACCGTAAGGTTGAAGCGCACACACACCGTCCTCTTCGAAGAAAGAATTCGATTGACATTTTGCGGAAACGTCAGTCTAGTGGGGGAGGGTGTAACGGAGTTACACGTCGACTGGTAGTCGACAATAGGTGTGGTACACACAAGGGATGGAATCTTCTTTAAAGTAATATTCGAACACAAGTATCAATTGTTGAAGACTGATGTCTGTCAACCATTGATTACGAGATCTTATAATAGGTTTATTTAGGACATGAGTGAGTAGGTTATTTACTTTGTTCTAAGGTGTTCTTTTAGGTTAAAAGAAGAAATAAAATTCCGTTCCCATTTTGATCAACAAAAGACACGTGCCTCTCTGAGACGTCTTGCGATCGTAAGGAAGTAGAAACGTCTTGTTAAGGCAGCTACTCCTTGTGCACTTAGTGCGTTTGATTCTTTGAATCGTTTGGTCCCCCTGAAACAGGGACCGTAAGCTCTTTGAGCTCGTTGTCTCTTTGAGTCGGGTTCTTTGAACCAACCCTTAGCTCTAGGAGCTGTTGACTCTTTGAGTCGGGTTCGTAGAACCAAAGTTGCTCGTAAGAGCGTTAAGTCTTCCTCTGGATTATAGAGCTGTGTAGCTCCGCTACAGCTACGCTGTTGCAACTGTAATAGCTACTGATCCGCATATAGATTCCTTTTTGAACGACTGACGGTGGTTACATATGAAGCAACATATTCAAATTACTAAATCGAAACGTCTTTACCTGTTGCTTGGCACAAAATTTACGTATGCAATTGATTGTAGATTGGGGCTAGATTCCTTTTGCTCTCCAAACCGAATAAGCTCATAAATTTTTTGACATACGGCTATCTGACTTCTCGAGGGACTATAGTGAACCGATGAGACTTCGTCCTGTTTGAGGCTAGAGTGTATCTGTTCCGCCACGAATATCGCTTGTTTCGGCGTATTCGATTCCAGGCGAAACATACGAGTCTTGAAGGATCCATACGAATCTTGCATAAACATAGTAGCCAGTTTTTGTTCCTGAGCGGGTTTGATCAGGATCGACTCGCAAGGTAGAAAATGCGCTGAGTGTAAGCGTTTCCGTTACGCTTACGCTCCCTGGGTTTGAGGAGATCTGATCAAGTCTTGAACTCATCCCTCGGAGGCTCAAACGTTTGTCTGACCGTCCGTAAAGGAGATTTGTAGCCAAAGTTTTATAGGTCAGTAAGCTTGGTTTATTAATGCCCAAGTATTTTTCACCATAGCCGTGCTTGAATGAAATTATTCCACTTGCGTTTGCCATCGATTATGCTACCATCCCTTATGGCGTCGCAGAACTAGACGAGCCATCGTACACAGGCATCTTTCACGATCTCCATACACTGAGATTCATCGATTGTAAAGCATTTGAATAGACGCACGCACGTGGACCCGATAATAGCAGCATTCTGCAGCCTCGCCACTTCGAGCAGTTGATCACCCTGAATTCTAAACATATCTGCCTGTCTAGAGCTTTGCTGTTGAAGTAAGTATAATTTTACCTCCCGCGTGGAGCTCATGGCGGATGAACATGTCTATGGAGACATGTTGATGGTTTTCTTTAGAGCGAAAAAACATGGCTTTGATGGCAGGGTTCACCGATGGTCAAACTCATGCGTCCAACCGCGACCCATTTGATGAACTAGAAATAGACGAAACGTTTACGCGTGGCGTAAAAGATATCATAAACATCATCCAGAACGTTCATTTTAAATGAAATATTAGCAGTCGTTAGCCGGACCTCGGAGTGCTACCCAGGTGAAGCGGGGGTACTCTCTACTTCTACTGACACACAACAACCTACCTTTACCGTCCAAAGTACAGACATGTGCCTCGTTCTCTTATGCAAACTTTTTGCGTAGACAGCAGGGGTTCTTCAAATGGACTAACTAGTTGGAAGAAAAAAGCCGAGCAGCAACTTCATCATTATTGTTGTCTTCTCAATGTGACCTCTCAATCTTACCTTACACATAAGAAAAATTAACAAAATAATTCGTATTTATCTATCTGCTCACCACCCATTCCGCGCGTCTATGAGCGATACGTGGTTTAATTGGTGGATATGATGGCCTAGGTCAAAACAAATCAGAGCGACGATTGCATTTGATATCAAAGGAAATATTCCTGCAAATATTTATTATGTTGTGAGGTAAATATTGGGAAATATTGTTGACGAAATTGATATAATACCATCAACCAATTTTAATGTCATTTATATGAAACGGGCTCACCTCCCGATATGCAAGAAGCACTCGCGTTAACGTGGCTGATGAGATTTAGCGGGTGAGTGAGAATGCAAGGTACATTGATACAACTGTACGGGGACCCATTAGACGACAGGTCTTACTCGACGGACTTAAATCCGCTAGCTTCTGTTCCACATGCAATTAAAATAGAGGTTTACATCACATGTTGTATCGTAGAAGCATTGTTGACGCATCTCATGCAGCGATGGCGTTGCAGGAGGTAGAACTAATGGTAAATCAACGTGATAGTCAGTCTCGCTTTACAAAGTTACTATTGTGATCTAGCTATTTGTCTGGCTTGAAAAGAAACATGTGCCTTAATAATTAGAGTATCACACTTAGTAGCTGCGAGGAAACACTCTTTATTTATCCTCGTCACTTATCGCTAGACCGTCGTCGAGTAGGCACTTGGCTACGCTGGTCCAGACGTTTAGACCTTCATCCCCCTCAATTTCGAAGTTTGAATAAATCTCCATCGCTGGTGAGTTGCATGCTAACAAATCTGCAGGGCTCGTGCCTGTAAACAGTTCCTCGGCAACAGCCAGGACCTCTCTTGGAGGTGACAGCGCTAGATTTTCGTGGGCATCGCTCTCATCCATATCGATGCTCTCTTGCTGTGTCGAATTCCCATCTTTTCCAGTTTTTCGACTTCTTAGTCGAGCTGAATGCCATCGGTTCTTTATAGCATTGTCGGTGCGTCCAGGTAAAAGGGAAGCAATGCGTGACCAGGCGTTCCCGAACTTTTGTTGCAGTGCCAGCAGAAGCTCATCCTCATCGACGGACCAAAAGTCGCGCTTGATCGAAGGGTCAAGCTGATTGTGCCACCGCTCACGACACTGCTTCGATGTCCGTCCAGGCAGAAAGGATGCTGCTATTGTCCATTGTCTTGCCCCATGGCTTTTGACAGATGTCCTCAAAATTTCGTCCTCATCACTTGTCCACGGTTGCCTACTGGGAGGAGTCCAGCGATTTTGCAGTTCATTCCAACGAGCTGAACAGGAATGTTTAGAGCGGTTTGGAATGGTCGAAGCAACAAAATTCCATCGGCGCACACCGTAGAGGCGAACACCATTCCGAAGTTGATTATCCTAATGTACGAGAAAACCTTTTAGAATACTTGTGGTTGCTGTCAATACGATCCCGCTACTTACTTCTTCGGACGTCCACATCAACCCCTGCATCTTGGAACATGAAAATCCTTGAATGGCTTTCTCCGTCGGTAAAGATGAGCTGGCATGATCTACCACGAATATGAGAGACGGCGTTGACTCCTCACATTTCATGACACGGTGTCGGTAGAACCAAGACCTATATGCAGATGACCCCGTCCCAGATTCCCCCCAAGGCCAATTAAGTATATGCTCGAGATTTCACTTCCTTCTCGCCGAATACAGGAGAATCGTTGAGAGCAGACGCGATTTCTAATCAATATTCTGTCGACGCGACATGGGAAAGTGTCGATGCAAGAGAACAGCGACTATTCAGCTTGGTCTCTTGTTGAACGATCAAGCCTGAATCTGCAGCACAAAGGTGTACGCTCGACACATAAACAAGTAGGGAGTAGATTGTATCTGTATCGTCCCTTTCAGAGATTGTCACTGCAGCGCTTGGTCGTTAGAAATCTGTTGCGAACCAACTTCAGCAGTAACCGACGTGGCAGCCAGCTAATGTTCTCGACACCCGGGCGCTGTGATGTTTGAGCTGCAGGACCGATACGAGGGTCTTTCAACGAAGAGGATAGTCGCCAATTGTCCAACGTCTCGTCATTGACCTCACGCACTGACGAGGCGTTCGAAACCTTTTCTGGTGTACATGGAGTACACGGAGATCCTGGGAAAGGCTCTCTCGGAGTTCCATCATGCTCGAATTCAACCACATCCTCATTCTCCGAATTCCGACTACCAGGAACGGGGGATTCCAATGGCGCCATTTTATGGTGTGGATACACCGATGACTCGCGTGCGCCTTCATCGGCCGTCTTGGGACGTGTCGACATATGGTGCTTGTCGAAGGTTGATGTCCTCTCGCCTCCCTTTCCGGATCGTGATCTCAGAAGCCGACTGCTTTCGGTCTCAGATCGCCAGCACGCAAAGACCTGTTCATCCGACCGCGTTCTATGCAAGGCGCACATGGCACAGCATATGAGTTGCCCGGCCACCACCTTGTCTAGAGATGCGATGGCATCTCCTTCCGAACGTGCTTCTTCCTTTGGATCGCCGAAATTCGCCGTGGCCATGGCGCATGTCGGACCGAACTGTTCGTTCGTTCCATCGTAGTCGTTGGTCCTGAACATAGGGGTCTCAGGGAAAGGTTTTGCTAGTAGCTGGTCACAGGGCGGAGACATGAGAGCCTCGTGACCATTGATGCTTCTCCGGTTTGTGATGAACATGATCATTTCAGGCGCGACTTGATGCCTCAACACGGAGCACTTCTGATTTAACGGATTGAGCAAGACGCGCTGCAAAGTTGCGAATAGTTTAGCAATAGCTTGGCGTTGAGTCTCCAAAACGCGAGGCTTACATCCAGGACTCCGGACTCGAAACAAAAAAAGACCTGTTCGTTCAGCTGGAAGGGACCGCTGCACGTAAGCGTAGAGCCACGGACATTCTGCGAAGCAAAAATGGCCTTGACTCAACGTCATCAGTAGCCGATCCCGGAACGAGCAGCACTCAGAGAACGATCGAACGTGACGCCACGTCGAACTCGATTTGGTGTCTCGCACAGTAAGTGCAAACGATGCGTCTCCAGAAAAATGCGATGATGTGGTCACTTCAACTATAACGTTGGCCAGGTAGGCGACGTTCGGATTGGAGTCATTAGTTGCGGCGAAAGCTTGCGAATCGCAGTGTAGACGCCTAGCGTACAGTGTTGAGCACTTGGGGTGGCGCTGTGGCGGTGTATTGCTCATCGTGTAAATTTCGACAGTTGACGCCACAGCTAGCGAGAGAGTAACTGTTCCCGATGCGATGCTCGGAATGAAGCGGATAGCAAAGTGAAAGTGGCTTGGAGAACTGCTGGGCTGTGATCCGATCAACGGAGGGAATCGCAGGATGGACCAGGGCAGGCGTCGCATACTCAAAGTCGGAACTCTTACGGGCTCAGTGACCCAAAGTGAGTACGCTTGGTGTCACTCATAAACTTGAAGTGGGATAAAGAGTCGTTTACAACTGACTGATGTGCATGACTCACGACATCCAAATGCTCATCGGTACTGAGTGACTTTAACGCGATATGAAAGATGGTACGGTTTCGCATACCGATGACTGAGGATTGCTGACCACTGATTGATTGCCATTTGGTAAGAAGCCGCATCCATTGTCATTATGTAATGCATGACATGACGTCAGTATTGTTTCCGATCCCATTTCAAATGACCACATGACAATGTCTGAAATTGCACGCGTTGTCTGACTTTTCGCAGAGCATGTGATCGAAGATGCTTTTTGGGACCAATCAAAGGCTATAATATCTGAGCAGCAGATTTCGAAAGATTGGCAGCAAGGACCTGCATACGTCCAACGCGAACGCAACTGTTCCGAACCGGAACTTCGTCGGCGAGTCATTGATTCTTAAATATCTGGATGTATACGCTTCTTTCGTACTCCATTCAACTAGGTTAAGTTCAAACTGCTGCTGCGTCCACCCGGCAGTTTTTTATGGTGGGACTGCTGCAGTGCGCTATTATTCCTTTTTGAATTGATAAGCTGCTTGGGTAGATCGACGTATGCTGACTCGTACAGTGCGTTCTCTCTCTCTTGTTACGCGGAGAGGCTAAATAGACCGGCGCCTATCCATTAGACTTAGTGTTTAAATGACAACAGTGGTGACGCAGCCAGGCCACGTCAATTCGAATATGACAGGATAAGCTAAAAAGAAATGCATCTTTATCGTAGCCAGGCCACCTCTGGTCCTATATGCGCTGCAGCAGAGCTTCCATGTGTGAGATTCCATAAGTGCCTTTCTGTTTGCCTTCTGAACAATATTGAGGACATCCTGTGAATTCATAAGGATACCCACCTGCCTTCTTAAACTGGTAATATTCTATGTAAATCACATACAGACAGAAAACAGATAATGACCTGCTGTATATGACTTCAACACGCACACATACACGTGAAGAAGATCCATCTTGATGCATCTGGACGACCTTAGAATCAATATCGTCATTATTTAGCGATGCACGTCTCGCCGCCGGTAGCGCTGAGCGAATGGTCTTGCTGATAGAACGGAAGTGAACGGTGTGGCAATTGTGTACACAAAGCGTTGACATTCCCAAATTTTCACGGTTCAGCTCAAGCCAGTCTTTTTCCCTTCGGGGCAGTCAAGTCGGAGGGAATCCTCCCCTTGGGGAGCCGACGTGGTCGAAGATCTGACGCGGGCACGCTGCACTCGCAGTCGCGGGAGTGGGCGTAGGAGACCGACGGGTCGCGCAAGCGGCCCTAGCAGGGGTGTTTTACGGACTGGAGGCGTACCCCGCGCCACGTGTCGCCGCTGCGGCGAGCGCACACTCCACGTCAAGGGGCCGCGCGAGCGGCTGAAGGGGCCACCATCGCAGATGGTTGAGCTCCTCGGAGAGATATACGGCGGGTTGGCGTTCTCCACGCCACGCAGTCACTTCGGTGATCGCACTCCACGTCGTGGGCCGCGCAAGCGGCTGAAGGGAGCCACCATCGCAGATGGTTGAGCTCCTCGGAGAGATATATGGCGGGTTGGCGTTCTCCACGCCACGCAGTCACTTCGGTGATCGCACTCCACGTCGGGGGCCGCGCAAGCGGCTGTAGGGAGCCACCATCGCAGATGGTTGAGCTCCTCGGAGAGATATACGGCGGGTTGGCGTTCTCCACGCCACGCAGTCACTTCGGTGATCGCACTCCACGTCGGGGGCCGCGCAAGCGGCTGAAGGGGGCCACCATTGCAGATGGTTGAGCTCCTCGGAGAGATATATGGCGGGTTGGCGTTCTCCACGCCACGCAGTCACTTCGGTGATCGCACTACACGTCGGAAGCCGCGCAAGCGGCTGAAGGGAGCCACCATCGCAGATGGTTGAGCTCCTCGGAGAGATATATGGCGGGTTGGCGTTCTCCACGCCACGCAGTCACTTCGGTGTTCGCACTCCACGTCGGGGGCCGCGCAAGCGGTCCTAAAGGGGTTTGTTGCCTTATATGGCAGCATACCCGCGTTGTACGTGCTGCCGCTCCGGCGGTACGCATGTCCCCAGTCTACTTGGTCGCGCCAGCGGTCATGATTGACTCGTAGTTGGCTTCGGTAGGAGGGTCTCTGACCTCGTTGCCGTCGCCCCTGGCTCTACGGAGCTCTTTAGTTGTCGACCCGATACCCGGGCCGTACTTCTTGTCACACTTATCAGTCGTTAGTTATCATAATAATGGACGTACTTGACACCACAAAGCGTTGACCAGGCACTTTCTTCTGGAGCGTGCTGGTCATACACGATCACGAGCTCGTATGAACAGCCAACCTTTTTTGTCCCGCGATCTCGCATTGATGTGTGCCGACTGTGAGATTCGTTTTATATTTTCCCTGCGAACATGTAAAAAAAACTGCGCTTGGGGCCTATCGAACGGCTGCGGGATACGCTGATGGTAAAACCTTGGCGTACGGCGTACTGCTTCAGAGTCTCTACAGCCATCTTTTGACTGTCAAAAGGCCCGACCGGTCGAGATTCTTCACAGATCCATGAGGGATCAGCGGCGGCAGGATCAGGGCCAGCATCAACTTGAGGCGTAACATGATTGTCAGCGACGACGGAATTAGTGTCAACATCAACGACCGTAGCAGTGGCAGCAGCAGTAGTGAAGGCGGATGAAGTGCTCATCATCATGCGTTGGACAACGGATGATTTCTTTTTGAATTATCGTGGCCTAATCATGTTACAGGTGCAAATTTACTTAGCTTATCCTGAAATATTCGAATTGACATGGCCTGAATGTGATACCACGGTTGTCGTATAAACATTAAGTCTAATGGATAGACGCCGGTGTATTTAGCAATAATGTTCGGTGTATTTGGCCTATCCCCTTGTTACGCACATTGTGTTTGTGTGAACTTTACCGCACGTAAAAAGCTTTGTACTGACAGGAATAAATAGGCGAATTATCCGTGATGAATGAAGATAGAATTATCAGAAGTCATCAGAAAAAATTATACGTATGCGACATAATGTATCAATCATATATATATAACTACCTGCTCCTCCCTTACTTCGGCCTGCACGACCTTGAGGAAGTCATCGTGTGATCTGCATGTATCATGTTCGTCGGTTGGGCATTCTTCAGGTTCGCTTATTATTCTTGGCATACATTCATCGTAAGAATGGCATCCGCAGTCTACCGCCGACAGCAGTTCCATGCAGTGAGCTGAGGTACACAGTCTTCACCCACATCTGCCCCCACCTCGTTGTGAGATCGCTTTACCAACGAGTGAGCGCACAATGAGCAATATGTGCCAATAATCCTTGCATCAACGAAGCAGACGGTCTTGCGCATTGTGAGAGCGTGTCGAGTCTTCGAAATCTCCCTTGTGCCACCTCTGCAGTAGCAGGCGAAGCCATTCTGGAACTTCCTCGTGACAAAACTGATCAACTTCCCGATTTTTGCCCACGACAAATTCCAGCAGCTTCAAAGCCACGTCCTGCATCACCACAGAACATGCGTGGTTAGCTCGAGTCATCAAGAAGCTCCGAATGGTCGCCAAGCTGCGTGTCAACGTCTTTCGGCGTCTATCAATCACTCGCACTAGAGAGCTCCCGACCAATTGCGACTTTGGATAGTAGCTTTTGAGAAACGTATAAAGCCACGGACAATCAGCACGGCAGTAGTGGCCTTGCGTTAGTGCTGTCACCAGGCGCTTGCGGAAGACCCGAAACTCGTTGAAACTGCGCACCAAGCGCCAAGTTTTGGGCTCGATAGAGTCTTGGCTGTGATACGTCACCGTAAGCACATAGTCAACATGCCGATACAAACGTCGCGGCCATGATACGATGGGCGTTACGTCCATCGAAGTGCCGTCGAGCCACGCTACTTGAGGCGGCAACGTTTTCATAGGCGACGGTCGCTTCCTCCAAATACGCTTCAGACCCATTCTCCAAAGATGTCTAGACCGGTGGGTGCCGAAAGAGACGAAATAAATGTGGTAAACCCGAGAGCGCGAAAGACAGGCGGCGGTCACAGACAGTCTGATCCATCGCGACTCCATCTGCGTTGGCTTTTATAGTAGACGTGGCAGCAACGCGGTCAATGATTGATGAAGAGGGACATGTTGAATCGACCACGTAGA